TGTGTGTGTGTGTGTGTGTGTGTGTGTGTGTGTGTGTGTGTGTGTGTATCTGTCTGTCGGTTTTGGGGCAGGAAGGCGCACCCAGGCATCTCATCCTCCCTGTCTGTTAGAACTGGGGCTGGAAGGCTGTGCCCTTCGTGGGAGAGAAAAGGATCCAGCACCCTGCAGTAGGGGGTGCTGCTCAGCTGGGGTAACGCGCACTGGTACGGTGAAGAATAAGCCAATCAGAAAGCAGGTCCCAGCGGACTCACCAATGAGGTGCATAGGGTGGAGCCCAGTGGCGTCTGGAGGTGGGCCAGGGCTGGGAGGGGTCTCTTTAGGTGTAGGGGGTGTGGCAGAAAGAGCATCCAATCAGAAAGCTGGTGTCAGGCATACAGCCAGTTGAGCAATTTGGGGTGAAGCCAAATTTGGCTCCAGTAAAAAGCCGCTTTTGACTGCATTACGGAAGATTCGGAGAATAAAAGAATCAGGTAGCTGAATTTGTATATGAATCTCAGGATGAGCCATGTGGAATGTTCTGATCATAAATAGTCCTTGCTGCCCTTCCACATCTCTGCCTTGGTCTGGCTTTGTGTTTCTTCTGATTCTTGACCTCTGCTCCTAATACTGGCTTCCGTCTTCCTCAAACACTGCCCACTTAGAACACTTGTTCTCTGATCTCTTAAGGCCCTGTCTCTGCCTTAACCTTGACCTCCCAACCTCTCACCCTGACGGCCTCTCCCTGCAGATGCCCTGCTCTCTGACCTGGAGACCACAACCTCTCACATGCCAAGGTCAGGGGCTCTAAAAGAGCGGCCCCCAGAGCCCCTCACGTCTCCTCTGACACAGGTGAGATCAGATGCTGGGGACTGCGGCAACCACTAGGGCCAGGTTTGGCAGGGGCAAAGGGAATCTAGGCCTGAGTGGGTGCGGCGCAGGCCTATCATCCCACACATATGTCCTTCTCTATAGATGGGGTCCGGGGAATCTTCAGGAGCCTCTGGGGACAAGGATCATCTGTACAGGTGAGGGAGCTGGGTACTGGGGGATGGGGGAGCCCATTGAGACTCAGTCTTGTATTCCCCACCCCTGAACCCAGGCCCCCACCCTGTTTCCCAGCACGGTATGCAAGCCTCGGTCCCCGAAGCCTGCGGCCCCTGCAGCCCCTCCATTCTCCTCTTCCTGTGGTGTCTTGGGCACGGGTCTCTGTGAGCTAGACCGGTTGCTTCAGGAACTTAACGCTACTCAGTTCAACATCACAGGTACCAGGGTAATTGGGGCAGGGTTTGATGTGATGGGGGGCAGGGCAGGGCAGACACTAAGTGGGTATAGCCTTCCCAGAGTAGCAGCTAAAGCCTTACCTGGGAAGGAGGCTAGAGCATGGCCCCATGTCCAGTGCCCTTCTGTCCTCTCTGCAGATGAAATAATGTCTCAGTTCCCATCTAGCAAGGAGACTGCAGGAGAGCAGAAGGAGGACCAATCTGAGGACAAGAAAAGGCCCAGCCTGTGAGTTTGGCATAGTTGGCAGGGCTGGGAGAGGGGTGATCAGTCCTGGATGCCTGAGTTACAGGAGGAAGCGTTACTCTGGGGCTCTAAGCTGACACAAGTTGTGTTCTTCACAGCCCTCCCAGTCCATCCCCTGTTCTCCCAAAGCCTTCGGCCACCTCAGCCACCCTGGAGCTAGATAGGCTGATGGCCTCACTCTCTGACTTCCGTGTCCAGAACCATGTGAGTCACTCAGGGAGTGAGGGGTGGGCCAGTGTGGATTTGTGGCTCTCAACCCATTTTAGACCCTCCCACATCTGCTGCCTTGCTGACTCAACTCTCCTGTCCTCTCTGCTGCAGCTTCCGGCCTCTGGGCCAACCCAGCCACCAGTGCCAAGCTCCGTGAATGAGGGCTCCTCCGCCCCACCAGGGCCCGCTGGCGAAGGCAGCCTAGACACCATGCTGGGGCTGCTTCAGTCTGACCTCAGCCGCCGAGGCGTTCCCACCCAAGCCAAGGGCCTCTGTGGCTCCTGCAATAAACCCATTGCTGGGCAAGTAAGTGGAGCCCTGCGAACAAGGGGGTAGAGACCCACAGACCCATCTGTACTGAGGGCCAGTGGGTATTATTGTTGTTCATGTGTTACGGATGAGGAAACTGAAGCCCCATGTCACCCAGCAAGTAAGTGGCAGAGTAAGAATTCCAATCCAGTTATTATTTATTCTGGTCCTACCGTGTGCCAGGCTCTACGCTAGCTCCTTTACAAACCCCCATCTCAATTAATCTCCACAAAAGCCTCATTGGCTCCACCCACCTGTCTGGTTCGGGAGCTCCGGTCCTTGGCTTATTACTGAGCAGATGTTACTGGCAACGGTGCCCAGTGGTTGACCTAGTTCCTCCTGCTAGATAAAGCACCCTACCACCATCCTAGAATTTCCAATCTCAGCAAAGCAGGGTGGCATTATGACTTTCGTGGGCCCTAAGCGCTTTCACCTTCATGGGCCCCTTCTTCCATTAATAAAATATATTAAAAATTGCATTTTATGACTGTGTTGGTATAAAGATGAATATATTAGTATTATATATGAAGTCATTCTTCTCCTAGCTCATTTTTTCTTCTAATTTTAAAAGAAACTACAACATTTTTGTGGGTTCCTAAAGTATGCTGGGGCCTAGGCACTGTGCTGGAAGACGGGTTGAGTCTCCACCACTTACAGACTGAGTGACTTTAACGTTAGATTCTTCATCCTGATTGCTCAGAGATAAGATTCGAAAAGTGCTACGCAAACCTTGACTCACTGGGCACATGGCAGCCCGAGGGCCACTCTGACCCAGGCCTCACCCCCCAACTCACAGGTGGTGACGGCGCTCGGCCGTGCTTGGCACCCTGAGCACTTCGTTTGCGGTGGCTGTTCCACAGCCCTGGGAGGCAGCAGCTTCTTCGAGAAGGATGGAGCTCCCTTCTGTCCCGAGTGCTACTTCGAGCGCTTCTCCCCAAGATGTGGCCTCTGCAATCAACCCATCCGACACGTGAGCCCCACCTCTGTCTCACCCAAGGCGCCTGTGGGATGGGCCTCATCCACTTACACTTCTCCCATTCCCACGCCCACCCCAGCCCCGTCCCTCGTTCTCATCCACGGCCCTTTAGACTTCACCCTCTCTCTTTGATTCCCAAGTTCCTGCTTAGGTCTCCCACACCTTACACTCGTACTTCAACCCACTCACCTAGGTTCAGGGCGGAAGAGGGAGGGGAGTAGAAATTGAAGGCCACACTGAGTGCTCCCTTTTATTCCCCGCAGAAGATGGTTACTGCCTTGGGCACCCACTGGCACCCGGAGCATTTCTGCTGCGTCAGTTGCGGGGAGCCCTTCGGAGATGAGGGTGAGAGCTTGACTCCCACCTTGAAAGCCGCGGGTCCGCTTGACATCCCGCCCTGCTCTCTTTGGGCCAGCGCACTACGACCTCCGAAGTCCTCGGGGCCGCGAATTTTCTCCTGCTCTCTCCTGGCCCCAACCTGTCCCACCTGTGTGTTCCCATCCCATCCGTTCCCGCTCTGCTCCCGCCCCAGACCCCATCCCTCTCGGCCTACCACCTCCCCTGGCCCCATAGCCTCAGATTTTGTGGGGCTCCTGGTGCCACCGCGCACTCTTTTCCTTCCTCCTACTCGGTTCCCGCTCCTAGGTTTCCACGAGCGGGAGGGCCGCCCCTACTGCCGCCGAGACTTCCTGCAGCTCTTCGCCCCGCGCTGCCAGGGCTGCCAAGGCCCCATTCTGGATAACTACATCTCGGCGCTCAGCGCACTCTGGCACCCAGACTGTTTTGTCTGCAGGGTGCGTGGCTGGGGGGCGGGGCCTGGGAGGGACAGGCCAGCGCGGGGCGGGACTAGGAGCCTGGGGCGGGGCGATTGTTCAGAGCAGGGTCCTGGGGAGGGGAGGCTTCGCCTTTGAGGGCAGTGCGAGGGGCTGCGGGGGGGGGGGGGGGTCTTGGGACTGGGGTCGGGTTATTCAGCTCGTAGGGCAAGTTATTTCGTCTGGAGATCGGCGCTGACCCATCCTTTCTCGGTTGCCCTTCCCCAGGAATGCTTCGCGCCCTTCTCGGGAGGCAGCTTTTTTGAGCACGAGGGCCGTCCGCTGTGCGAGAACCATTTCCACGCGCGGCGCGGGTCGCTGTGCGCCACGTGTGGCCTCCCGGTGACCGGCCGATGCGTGTCGGCCCTGGGCCGCCGCTTCCATCCGGACCACTTCACCTGCACCTTCTGCCTGCGCCCGCTCACCAAGGGCTCCTTCCAGGAGCGGGCGGGCAAGCCCTACTGCCAGCCCTGCTTCCTCAAGCTCTTCGGCTGACCGCCTGCCGGGCTCGCCCCTTTGGGAGAGCGCGGCCCCCCAAACCTCGCCCTTCCCGAAAAGACCGGGCTCTCCAGACCCCAAGGCCTTGCTCTTAGAGCGTGGGGCTCCCCCAGCCCAGCTCCGTGAGGCCCCACCCACTGGAGGGACAGGCCCCGAAGGTACTGTACGTTCTCCATGGGCGAGTTCAGAAAAAGCCCCGCCGATCCTAAGGCCACGCGCCCCACGAAGTGGGTCGTACACTGGCAAGCGATCCCGCGTGAGCCCTTCACTTTATTCCCAGCCTTGAGGGAGCCCCTCGACTGGAGGAGGGCCCTTGCAATTCCCACGAATCCGAGGCCAGGCCAGGATGTCCCTCTCCCCGCCTCTCACTGCTCAGTGCACTTTTTTCTACCTACATAAACACACATTCCACGTCACACAGGTGCTGTGTCTCTGCGCGGGAGTGCCTCGCTTTGCGACGCCCCGCCCCTTATACTGTCTCGGGCTGTGATGCGTGATGCGTTCTAGGCCACCGCCCTGTGGTGGGAGCCGGACCTTCAGACTCAGCCCTTGCAGGCTGTCCTTCACCTGTCAGATGCGCCTGAGGAAAAGCTGGCCACCTGCGCAGGATTGTACAGACGGTGACAAGCCGGGACGGGAGCTCAAGCAGGACCCACCAAACCTTCCCGTCCCCAACCCCCCATCCTTCATTTCCTTATATCCTCGAAATACGCACTTAATCTGTACCCCTCCCACTCCCTTCCACCTTGCCACCTTGGCTGGTTTCCAGATTTTTCCCCCTCCTTAAAAGACCCTCAGAGATGGGGCTCCATTCAAGTGCCAATTTGTGCCCACCTTTTGGATCTGGGCATTAAATTACAGCTTCCCTCATACGGGTATTGACTCATAACAGCTCCGCTAGGCAGAGGATGACACTTGGGGTGGTCAGGGCAGTGACTGAGGGAAGCGCTGGGGGCTGTAAGAGCCAGAAGGAGGCTTCTAACTCAGATTGGAAGTCAAGGAGGGCTTCCTGGAGGAGGTGACACCTGAGCCTAGCCCCAGCAGAGAAGGGTGGGGCCAGGGGTTCTTAAGTATGGAGAAGTTCAGGCTCCATCTGAATCCCTAAGCCCCAGAGGCCTCTCTAAGCCTGGTACCTTAGACTCTGAAGTTCCCTAGGGAGGGGGCCTGGACTCCTGGGTCCTAACTACAGGGACCTTTGAGGCTGGAAACAATGGATTATCAGAGGCCCTTCCAGCTTAAGGAGGAGCTAACAGCTAAGGAGAACATGTGTGGGCAAGAGACAAAGGTGAGGTTCTCTGTCTTGGCCTCGGGCAGAACCCCCAGATCCTTTCCTCTCTGAGGCTCCACCCCCTGGGTCTTCCTAGGCCTCCTGCTCTTCCTCTTCCACAAATTCTTCCTGGGGAATGCTTTCCATCCCTTGGCTTGTAACCACCACCAAGTCTTGAGCCATTCATTTACCAAGTGTTTACTGAGCACGTGCTGTCCTAGGCTCCATGCCAGGTGCTGGGGAGACCATAGGGAACATGTTCCTTGGCCTCACAGTCTAGTATGGGGAGACAGAGGAAAAACAAACACACAGTGACAAGCATGATGAAGTAATGGGGACTTCCTTGATGGCCTAGGTAAAGATGGCCCTTCCCTCTAGTTTCCACCCACAGCACCTCCCTAGTCCCTCACTTATCACTATTGCAAATAAGTGTTTGTTTGTTGCTTGTTTATTTCTGAAATGAAGGCAAGCTCCTGGGAGTTTGTGTGTCAGATGACATGTTTGTTTTGCGGACCGTTATCTGTCCAGCGTCTAGGATGCTGTCTAGCATGTGGTAAGTGCTCCATAAATGTTTGCTAATGAAGGAAGGAATGAGGAAGGAAGGAAAGGAGCGAAGGCTAGAAGGAAAAAATAGAGAACTAAGTTATGAAGGTGGGGAAGGGAGTACTTGAACCAGATTGTCAGAGAAGGCCTCTGTGAATATGTACGTTGAGACTTTGAAGGTTGAGGAAAGAGGCAGCCAGGCAAAGAGCCTGAGGAGAGCATCCCAGGCAGAGGAAACAGCAAGTGCAAAGGCCAGGCGGTAGGAAAGAGCTTGGCATATTGGAAGAAAGGAAAGAAGGCCAGTGTGGTTGATTAGAGTGAGCAAGGGAGAGAGTAGTTGGAGATGAGGTCAAAGAGGAATCAGGTGCCACATCACAAAGGGCTTTGCAGGACCCCGCGAGGACACATAGATTTGATTTTAAGTGCCCATAACCCCAACGTGTCCTCTGATGCTTGCCCCTGGATTTCTCCCAGGCCTTTCAAATTCATCACCCACTGAAGCAGACACTGTGGGTGCCCTGCCCATATCCACCTGGCCCACCTGGGAAGTCGTATGCAGACACTTCCCAGACACTCAGTCTCCCCAGCTGCTCCCTGAGTTTCTGTCTAAGGGTGCTCTCTGGAGGAGGGCCTGGGGTGGGTGGGGGAGGTTCCATAACCTCCAGCCAGTTAGAGACAGGGATTGGTGAATGAATACCGCAGCTTTCTGGCCCCTTGGGGGTCAGTTCTGAGATGAGTTCTCCACAGTGTCTCAGAGGGTCCCCACTGGGATTGTCACAGTGGTAACCTTTCAATCAACACATGCTTTATTGGCTTTTCTCCTTTCTTTGTCTCTCTTCCCCACTCCTTACTGGGATCGGCTCCCCAATATAGTCATTGCACCCCAATTCTCATCGTAGAGTCTGCTTTTGAAGGGACCAAAATGAAGGCATTCCTTAAATAACTCATCACATTCCCCTAAAATATTGTTCTCCGTTCCCCATCTCCAGCATGAACCCAGTTCCCAAAATCAGACATCCAAGTCTGGTCAGTTCTTCTAGAAAGGCAGAGGTATGGCTATTTATCCAGCCTCTCCCTTCTTGCATCCAGCCCTGTGCTGAGCAATTCAGCCAGGGATGAATCAGATCATTTCCTGCTCTTGAGGAGTCTTTGGTCAACTGGGGAGACAGACCTGGACCCAGGCAAGGTCCATGCAATGTGCTCAGAACTGTGTCAGCAAAGTCCAAGAAGTTTTTCCCAAAGAGATGCCATGGGCTGGGCACTAAAGGCTAAGTAGGAGCTGACCATTTGAGAGGCAGGGAGGCACTCTAGGCAGAAGGCACAGCTTATACACAAGTTTGAGGGTATGAGAATACAGGGGCTGGGTTGGGCAAGGGAATGGGAAGGAAATATGATTTCACTCTGGGTTTGGTATGGAGGAGCAAGGGGAAGGGTGGGCAGGGGTCGGGGCATCAGGCTGAGAAGCTGCTGCCTCCTCCTGGGTGTGATGGGGAGCTATGGAGGCTTCCTAAGCAGGGGAGTGACACTGTCAGATTTGGGTTTGAAAATGATCCCTCTGGGTTAGTCAGAATCAGGGGGCTGGCTCAGCCGGGATCCCTAGGTCAAAGCTGAAGGGTAAGTATTTTTAGCAGGTGAAAGAAGTGATTTTGAGCCTGGAGCTCTGGGGAAGTGGTGGGGGCTAAGGCCCAGGAAGGGGAGTGCTCTTGAATTTGAAAGTGTCCAGCTCCGCAGGACCAGCCTGCAGCCTCGCTGAGAACTGATTCAGCTAAACAAATCCAGGGAGGGGGGACTTGTCGGCTCATTGCCCCAGGGGTAACCATTAATCTTCCCCTGGGGGGAATCCAGGGGCTGGTGCCCTGAAGGGCAGATTCTGGGCAGAATGGAGGAACACACAGAGGCAGGCTCAGCACCAGGGCTGGGGGAACAGAGGGCGCTAATTGACAACCCTGCCGACATCCTGGTCATTGCGGCTTATTTCCTGCTGGTCATTGGTGTCGGCTTGTGGGTGAGAAGTTGGGGGATGCTGCTGGGGGCCCGCTTTTGGAGCCTGGGGGAAAAGTCTCGGACAGTCCTGATGTGTGGTAGGGGAAGGATGCCTGGATCTTTGAGGGAGAAACCCGGGGTGGGGGGCAAGTAAGTCTTTTGCTAGCCCCAGGGTGGCCCAGCCCACACTCATGCATGCCTTGTCTGTCCACCTTTGGATTGGACTAGTTGAGGGGTTGGTGGGTCTTCTTCGGGACAGCATTCTAAATGAGATCTCTTCTACATAATGGCTGGCTGACCAGAAACACAAATCCAGGGTCCCCAGGAAAGTGCGGCTGAATGCAGCCACACTCAGGCTTGGGGAACCGGACCCTAGGTTAGGGTCTGGGTAGATCTGGGTGCCTGGGAGGAGGCTGGGGGTGCAGGTGTGGTCCGTCTGGGGAGCCGTGCGCTGGTTAATCTTCAGCCTGAAACAAGCCGAGGAATGTGTTGAGGAGGCTAATGAGGTCCAAAGATGTGCCCCAAACCCAGGCCTCTCCCCACTCCCGTCCCCCAGTCCATGTGCAGAACCAACAGAGGCACCGTTGGCGGCTACTTCCTGGCGGGACGAAGCATGGCGTGGTGGCCGGTGAGAGAGACTGGGTTATGGAGTGGGTGGAGGCCTAAGGAAGCAGCCTGGCTCACCCCAACCTCCGGCCACCCAGGTCGGGGCCTCTCTCTTCGCCAGCAACATCGGCAGTGGCCATTTCGTGGGCCTGGCAGGGACGGGCGCGGCAAGTGGCCTGGCTGTGGCTGGATTTGAGTGGAATGTGAGCGCCCCATTTTGCCAATAACCCCCACCTCCCCGTGGGAACCCCTGGAAGGGTCACACCTGGAGAGGCTCCAGGCGGGAGAGGTGGGGATGTGAGACCAGAGGTGGGACTTCCCAGCTGTGAGGTGGGGTTGGGCTTCGAGGGAGGTTCACGCAGCCAGCTTGGAGGCAGAGGCACGTGGGAGATACCACGTTCAGGGCAGGGGTAGGCCCTGCCCCTGACTCGCTATTGCTATGTGAGCCTGGACCAGCCACGCCCTCTGTGGCCTTGATTTTAGTCCTCTCTGAAGTGGGATGAACAGTCTCAAGGATAGTGAAAGTGCTTCTTCTGATGCTTTCTGAATCTGTGGCCTGTGAGGTTCACTAGGCTAAATGAAAGCCCCTTGCAGAAGTGGGCAGGAGACGAAGCTCTGGGACTGAGGCTCACCTTGGAGGGTCAGCAAAATCAGGGCTTTGAGCTCAGGGCTTCCTGGAGGAGGAGGCCTCCGAGCTGAGCCTTGAGGGACAGAAGGTTTGGGTGGGTGGAGAGGAGAGGGAAGGCAGAAGTTGGGGGTCAGCCTGAGGGTTCTGTGCCTGGATTCAGGTGTGTGTGTGTTGTGGGGGACGAGGAGGATAGGGATCATCTTGGGAGGGATGGCCAGGGGTCACGGCCTGGCAGGGCAAGAAGGGCTCTAGTTAAGGACCCAACAAAGTATCAAGACCTTGTCCCTAATGACCAGGGCCCAGGGACATCTGCATCTGTGTCCTCTGGGCCCCTCCTGCAACCTTGCCTTGGAGTAGCACTTTTCACCAAGAGAAGAAGGTTCATCAGACCCAACAGGGGCGAGGACGCACTCATGGCAGGATGTCCCACAGGGAGTGACCCTCAGCTGTCGCGCTGTGCCCGCAGGCGCTGTTCGTGGTGCTGCTACTTGGCTGGCTCTTCGTGCCCGTGTACCTGACCGCGGGCGTCATTACGATGCCGCAGTACCTGCGCAAGCGCTTTGGCGGCCGTCGAATCCGCCTCTACTTGTCCGTGCTCTCGCTTTTTCTGTACATCTTCACCAAGATTTCGGTGCGCATGCGCGGGGAGCTGGTCGGGACCCTGGTAGGGTGGGATCACCCAGTGGAGGTCTCTGGAAAGCCCTGGACGAGGCGGGACCAAGGAGCAATGGCTGTAAGAACCGTGATGGAGGCAGGGCCTGGAAGGAATAGGCTTCTGGGGCGACAACCATAGTGAGAGGTATCTGGGAAGACCAGGGCATCAAAAAACGAGGGAACCTTTGAGGTGTGGCCACGTAGGGTCGTGATCTGGGTAGGAAGTGGACCTGGGTCCCCACCCTGGCCCCTGGGTCCTGACCTGTGCGCTTGCTCCTCCCCCCAAGGTGGATATGTTCTCCGGGGCAGTATTCATTCAACAGGCTCTGGGCTGGAATATCTATGCCTCCGTCATCGCGCTTCTGGTCATCACCATGATCTACACTGTGACAGGTGGCAGGTGGCAGGGGCTTAGGGAAGGGAGCGTGGATCTGTGGGCGGGGCTTAGGGGAGTCACCAAAGGAAAGCGGGCTGGAGAAGTTCTTAAGTGTGATGTGATCCAAGCAGGAGAAGGACCTAAATCTTTGGAAAGCAAACTATTCCCCCCCTCCACGTTCCTTGGATTTGGTCTGGAAGTTCAGAGATCTGAGCCCGTCCTGGGCCTGGGCAAAAAGGAAGATTTAACAGCTCTTGAACACCTGGGAAGGGAGAGCCAACTTGGCCAGACCCCAAAGCTCACCAAACCCAGTGCAGGTTGGAGGATTCTGGGGTGGTGCCTGAGGCCTGACGCTGGAGCAGCGTGGGTGGGGCCTGGTACCAAGGCCGGCTTGAGGGGCCCGTCCCTTCGAATGGGATGAGAATCGAACCTTAGAGAATCACCTCCTCCTATCACACAGAAGAGAAAACTGGGGCTGAGAGGAGGGCCTGTAGTGGAAGTCCTGCACGTGGGCACCTGGCATTAGTGGAGTCTAAAACTCAGCCCCACTGTGCTCACGCAGCCCTGCCTCCTGATGCCAGAGTGTGTGAGCCCAGGGAATGGGCCATCCTTTTGAAATTTGCCCTCCAGGAAAGGGAAGCCCTTTTCCAATTCGCACAAAGACACTGTATGTACTAGTGGCAGCCTGTCTGGGCTGTCTCCACTGACCCAGGCCATTGCAGGAGGGCTGGCAGCGCTGATGTACACGGATACGGTGCAGACCTTCGTCATTCTCGCGGGGGCCTTCGTACTCATGGGTTACGGTACGGGCTCAGCCGATGGGGGAGGGGCGCAGAGATCACAGTTCGCAGATCTCTCCACCTGGGAGCAGGGACATTGCGCGTCTGCGGAATGTGGGTCCTAGGGAGGGCCTTGTCGCGGGCACCATGTCCCCTAACTGCTTTGCCCTCACAGCCTTCCACGAGGTGGGCGGGTATTCGGGGCTTTTCGACAAATACCTGGGGGCAATGACGTCCCTGACGGTGTCCGAGGATCCGGCGGTGGGCAACATCTCCAGCTCCTGCTATCTACCCCGGCCCGACTCCTACCATCTGCTCCGGGACCCTGTGACGGGGGACCTGCCGTGGCCTGCGCTGCTTCTGGGGCTTACCATTGTCTCAAGCTGGTACTGGTGCAGCGACCAGGTGCGGGGTCACGGCCTGCGAGGCTGGGGCAGAACTGGAATGGCGGTGGGCGGAGCTGAGATGGGTGGAGCCTGAACCCATCTGGGAAGCCAGGTAGAAGGCGTGGTCCGAGGGAGCGGGAAGCCCGCCAGTTAGAGCTAAGCCAGATGGAGCCGGATCCGAGTCAGGGCCTGCGCTTGGAGCTGAATTGCCCGCTTCGATGGGCCAGCCGCGGGGCCTGGATTAGAGTGGCGAGTTGAGGCAAGGCGGGAGGGACGGGGTACCCGGGACTGGACGCAGGTAGTTGAACGCCCCTCGTCGCAGGTCATAGTGCAGCGCTGTCTGGCTGGGAAAAACCTGACCCACATCAAGGCGGGCTGCATCCTGTGCGGCTACTTGAAGCTGATGCCCATGTTCCTCATGGTCATGCCGGGCATGATCAGCCGCATTCTTTACCCGGGTAACGTCTGCAACCCCGCCCCGACCGAGAGTCCTATGCCCCATCCAGCCCCTTTCTTGTGCAAGGATACAGGTGCCTGTCTCCCATTTCCGTTCCCGTCCTAAGATCTGGGCCACCCAGTCCCACCTCCCACCCGGGGGACCCATCTCTCCTCCACTGGGATTCCCCGTCCCCACTTCTGGGATCCGAAGGTTCAGACCCGGTGCCGCCATAGCCGCGTCGTGCCCCTTCCCGCAGACGAGGTGGCGTGCGTGGTGCCAGAGGTGTGTAAGCGCGTGTGTGGCACCGAGGTGGGGTGCTCCAACATCGCCTACCCGCGGCTCGTCGTGAAGCTCATGCCCAACGGTGAGGGCGGGCCCCCGGGTTGCCCCGCTGCCCACAGGCGCCAGTGGGAGGAGTCACCCCTCGCCCAGCCCGCACCCTCCCGGGACCCCCTCGTGGCCGCAGACTCACGGCTCCGTTGGCCCGCAGGTCTGCGCGGACTCATGCTGGCGGTCATGCTGGCCGCGCTCATGTCCTCGCTGGCCTCGATCTTTAACAGCAGCAGCACGCTTTTCACCATGGACATCTACACGCGCCTGCGGCCCCGCGCGGGCGACCGCGAGTTGCTGCTAGTAGGACGGTGGGTCTGGGTTTTCCATCTCCTGCCCCACGAATCAGCCCCGGGTAGGGGCAGGGAGCACTCGTAGGGACAGGGGGAGACGGGGTCCTGGGTGAAACCACCTGATGGCCGTCTACCGCAGGCTCTGGGTGGTGTTCATCGTGGCCGTGTCGGTGGCCTGGCTTCCCGTGGTACAGGCGGCGCAGGGCGGGCAGCTCTTTGATTACATCCAGTCGGTCTCCAGCTACCTGGCGCCGCCGGTGTCGGCCGTCTTCGTGCTGGCGCTCTTCGTGCCCCGCGTCAATGAGAAGGTGAGTGTGTGTGCTCATTGGGAGCTCGGGGCCGGACTTGGAAACCCGAGGCTGATGCGCTCTCTGGCCCCGCAGGGCGCCTTCTGGGGACTGATCGGGGGCCTGCTGATGGGTCTGGCACGCCTGGTTCCCGAGTTCTCCTTTGGCTCGGGCAGCTGCGTGCGCCCCTCGGCGTGCCCCGCACTCCTCTGCCGCGTGCACTACCTCTACTTCGCCATCGTGCTCTTCGTCTGCTCCGGCCTCCTCACCCTCGTGGTCTCGCTGTGCACACCGCCCATCCCGCGCAAGCACGTAAGTACGGGCCTCTGGACCAGGCAACAAACATGGGCCGCTGTGGGCCCTCTCCACCAGCAGTCGGCCAGCCTGCTTCCCAGAACTCCCAGTGGGTAGCACCTGAATTTCTATACCGAGGCTTGGTGAGGGCAGGCTGACAGTCCAGTCTGAAGCTTCATTTGCAAAGCAAGTACAATGTTTTTATTTAAATCACATTTATTTGAGGTGCTTTGGAGGTGGCTTGAAGAAGACTGTAGGGGAGGTTAAAGGCCCCCTGAGTCTTGGCCTGACTGGTGGCGGAGAGGGACAGAGTACTACCCTGAAAGCCCCAAAAGGGTTTGGTCTTGTGCTGTGGCAAGGCAGGTGGCCCAGGGCAGAGCTGACTGGGGGGAGGACAAAAGAAATGGGCCCAGAAGGATGGGCAGGAACCCACAGGTGGAGAAGGGGAAAGGCAGAAGGAGGGAACCCTGTGAGCGAACACCCACAGGAAGGAACACTGTTAGCAGGGCTGTAAGACTAAAGTACTACAATCATGAGTGTAGACAGGGTGATGAAGCAGAGGGCTGAGCAGGGCCAAGAGCTTTAAACACCCAGCTGAGGAGCTTGGGTTTAGCCTGAGGGCAAAGGGCAGCCATGGAAGGTCATCCTGGACTGAGCCTGGGCAGGTGTGCAGGCTGGACAGAGGGAGGTGAGGGAGTGCTGGTGTGGACGGGGGACCTCCAGGTTCGGGGTGGGGGAACAGCACTCCCACTTGGTCCCTGCTCCCACCCTTCCCCAGCTCCACCGCCTGGTTTTCAGTCTCCGGTACAGCAAGGAGGAGCGCGAGGACCTGGATGCTGAGGAGCTAGAAGGTCCAACCTCAGCCCCTGTACAGAACGGGCGCCCTGAGCACGCGGTGGAGATGGAGGGTAAGGCACTGCCCGGGGAGTTGGGGCAGGGGAGCTGGGGGAGCAGACTAACTGTACGGCTGCAATTTCTCCCAGAGCCCCCGTCCCCAGCACCAGGCCTGTTCCGCCAGTGCCTGCTCTGGTTCTGTGGAATGAGCAGGGCTGGGGCAGGCAGTCCCCCACGCCCTACCCAGGAGGAGATGGCTGCCGCAGCCAGGCGACTGGAGGACATCAGTGAGGACCCAAGCTGGGCCCGAGTCGTCAACCTCAATGCCCTGCTCATGATGGCCGTGGCCACATTCCTCTGGGGCTTTTATGCCTGAGGTCAACTGTGTCAGATGCCATGAGCCACAGCCTTGCAGCAAGTGGGGGTGGGGAGCCTGCAATGGTGAGAAGGGCCTGGGGCAGGAGAGTGCGGGGGAAGGCCCTGGTACCCCTTCTCTCCACCTGTCTCTGCCTGGGGCCCAGTCCATCTGATTGGTAGTCACTTCCTTGACCAAATGGCCACACCGGTGCCCCTAAGCAAAAATAAAGCTGCCTTTCCCAGGTCCTGCTGTGGCCAAAGTGTCCCTGCTCCAGGCTCCTGTCCTGGGACCTGGGCCTCTGGCTGGGCTGCTCACAAGAGCTTCTTTTCTGGACACAGGAGCCATGTGGCCCTCCACTCATCCACCTCTAGCTGGTGATTCTCAGTCCTCCAGCCCGCATCCTGCAGTCCTGGGGATAGCACATAGGGATACTGCTGGGGAGGAGACTCCGGGCTGACCCTGGGGATAGCGCATAGGGATACTGCTGGGGAGGAGACTCTGGGCTGCCCCTGGGGAGAGGGCATAGGGATACTGCTGGGGAGGAGACTCTGGGCTGCCCCTGGGGAGGGGGCATAGGGATACTGCTGGGGAGGAGACTCTGGGCTGACCCTGGGGAGGGGGAAGGAGCAGCACGGGCTGGGTGTACTGCTCAGGTTCCCCTTGCCTCTGCTGGGTAATCTCTGGCATAAAATGAGCCTAAAACCTCATCTGGTTGTAGCAAGAATTCACTGAGCAGCACATGAAAAAGGACCAGAATGGAGTAGGTGCTAAATGAAAGAGCATCATCAGTAATTTGTGAGCCTTACCCCGCCCCCCGCCGACCATTCTCCAATGCCAACTGGGATTCATAGTCTGTCAACACTGACAGCGCCTCAGAGACCATCCTAATCTCCCCATCCTGCAGACAGGGAAACTGAGGTCCAGACTTGAGATCACAGAGAGAAACCCAGGTCTTCCACCCTCTAGGTGAAGGGGTGGGGATGGGGGTAGGCAGGGCCTCTGGGAGAAGGCCTAGGAGCCATGAAGCAGAAGGATATTACCTTTCAAGAACTTTGGAAATAGCTTGTCCAACACTTGGTGGGTCTCCCTGACGATGACACAGCTCTCTTTCTCAGGACCTGGAGTGGGGTGAAGAACCAGAAGCTCTTGGGTTCCCCAGGCCGAACAGGGTCCTTCCTCTCTCCACCCCGCTTTGAGTCAGAAGCAGCCTAGATTGTGAGGCGCTTACCAGCCCGTACTCGGTTCCTCAGTCCCTCCAGCTCTCCTGGGAGGGGTCCATCTCCCTGCAGGGCTCCAAGCACCAGTCCGTGAGTGGCAGCCCTCAGAATGGTCTCAGGGCCTGCCATCTGGCTCAGGACAACCTGTACCTGGTCTGGAGAGACCCAGGGACAGACTGGTACCAGGGAAGGGCCACGTCCCCAGACACTCTCAGGCCTACCAGCCTGCTTCATCCCTGTCTGGCCCAAAGGCCTTGGCCTGGCATGAAAGGCCATCTCTCACCCTTTCCTTTCCAACTTCATCTCATGTTGCTCCCCAGTGCTCTGGCCAAGTAATTCCCAAGATACAACTTCAGAGCAGCTCCCTGAGGTGGGTTTATTTTGCTCGTCTTTAATGGCTAGTGAGAATAAGCAGCTTTTAACACACGACCAGCAGACCAGTAAACTTTAGTACATGTTTCCTCAAGAGGTGACCCCGGCTAGGAGAGGAAAGTGGTTCCTCAGGGATAACCAAAGGTCTTAACCTCATCTGAGTGTGCTGCAACGTACAAAGTGCTTTTACATAGTCACCTTATTTGATCCTCATGAAAACCCTGCAGCTAATAAGGCAGGTATTGTTAGCGCCATTTTACAGAGTGGTAAAGGGAACGTCACTGGGGCATGTAGCTATAAGCTGAATGCATCCAGTCTTAGTCTAGAGCTCCCTTCAGGACACTAGGCAGACTCCAAACTGTCCAGCACGTGTCCAGGGCTTGGGGCCCTGGGGCTGGAGGAATGAGGGGCTGAGCCTGGGAGGGTGAGTCGGAAGCTGGGGGAACGCGGCACACTTACTTTGTGACAGGTCCCAGCGAAGGAGGTAGGGTTCTTGGTGCCCCTCAACCAGCTTTTGCAGCTCAAAGACACTGAAGGAGAGAAGAGCGTGCAGTGTGGGAGGAGAAGACAAAGGCAGCAGCGACCACCCAGTCAACTGCAGAGCCACCTAACTGTTAACCCTAACTGTCCTGCACCTCCTTGCCATCCAGCCCTCAGCCGTTACCCCTCCCCCGCATCAACCCTTCCTTTCTTCCTGCATCCAACAAATATAAGATCCCTTATATCTACTTCATGTTATACACCTGCTGCCCTCAAGCACCCACACTGACCCCCAAGTCTGTTCGGTGGAAATAGAGAACCAGAGAGGTGGGGCTTGGTTGGGGGAGGCCAGTGTATGATCAGAACAGGGAGCCCGTGTGGGGAGGGGGTGACCGTGGTGACAGGTGGGAGATGCTGGGCCACTCACCTGGAAGTCACACGGTGTAGGGGGACCCCCAGGGATAGAGACAGAGATGGCCAGAAACCTGTGGGAAGCTGGAGTCAGGAGGCCCAGGCAGGGGGAGACATAGGAAACTTGAAACCGAGGGGCTGGCTCACCTGTCCACAGCGGTTCCATCTGATTGGCTGAAGCGGGGCCAAGTACCTCTCCCCGCTGAAGGAAGTGCTTCAGGACCAGCCAGAGCCGGCCTTCGTTCAAGGTCTCTATGACAAGGGCCCGGACTGCCCGGTAGTTGGCATAGATGTGGAGGGCAGTGAGGAGGAAGAAGCAGCCAAGGCTTAAGCTGGGGTGACAGAGTGAGGTAGTCAACGGGAGCAGAGGCCCAGCGGGGCGCCTCCTCCCTGCCCTTGGTCCCGGCTTACCTAGGGCAATCTGACACCAGGGGAAGCATCAAGAGGCTGACCAGGAGCCCTGCCAGGCTTACCAGCGTCTCCTGGAAAATGGCAGAGGGGATGGGAGCTGGAGGGCTCCCCTCCAGGCCAGAAAGAATACCCCTGAGTGCCTTTCACCACACCCCTCCCTGCCCCAGACACTCCCTACACTGATAAGGGTGCCTAGGAGATTTTTAACGTTTTTGATGAGTGAGCTGTCATTTAAGATACCAGCTGCTTCTCTGCCCAGGTAGGTGCAATGCCCTTGGAATGCCTGTGGAACATGCCTTCTTTGTTTTGCAAGAGTCAAAGTGTAGCCCTACACTCAGGCAAGTAAATGTCCACAGAGTAAAACTACTTTATTTTGTGGTTTAAAAAAAAAAAAAAAGGGAATTCCCTGGCAGTCCTGTGGTTAGGACTCTGCACTTCCACTGCAGGGGGCATGGGTTCGATCCCTGGTCGGGGAACTAAGATCCTGCAAACCATGCAGCGTGGCCAAAACAAACAAAAAACCCCGAAAAACAGAAAAAAAGGTCCATCCGCCCAGTAACCAGCAGATGCTTTTTGCAAAGGGGTCAAGGAACCACCCAGGAAGAAAAGCACAAGATCCAAACTTCCCTTGAGAATCAATATTATCAGACCGTCTGATGGCCCGAGAGGGCCCGACTGAGCTTACCCTAGGGGAAAAGACCCCTGGCCACCGCCCCCCAACTCATCATGAGAGAGGAGGAGTCTGGACTGGTGTCCCTGACTACGGGGTTCCCGGGGAGAGTTGGTTCTGGCACAGTGGGGGCCTGAGACTGCAGCTCTTCTTACCCAGTCGTCCTAGCAAAGGGGTGGGCCGTGGAAATAAAGGCTGTGGGTGTGACAGTAAACTGGGGATCAGGGGCCTTGGAGCTCAGGGGCAGAGGGACCTCCCCTCCCCCAGGTGGGAACAGTCATTTCCAGCAGCCACATCAACTGGCAGCAAAGCAACATCAGCAGAAAGCAGGGGCCGAGTCTGGGGCTGAGCACGCGTCTCGTTGCCCCACTGATGTTGCTGCCTCCGTGAACTGAGGAAACCCTGGGGCCTTGGAAAATGCATCTGGGGGTAGAAGGGGCTGGGGGTTAGAAAGAGGGCAGGTGAGACAGCAGGCACGGGGCTGGTTGTACTTATTTCCCCTCCCTAACAACCTGTGGAAGTGATAATGGGGAAGAACTCATCCAACCATTGCCGGGGAGAAGGGATGTGCCCAAAGGGACCCAGGGAGACTCGACCATTCGGTGCCTTTTTCCCCCTCATCTGTAGAGTGGCAACAATGAACAGCCCTGCACAAGACCACTGTAAGGATTTAATGAGTTCATCCACATGAAATAGTTGGCACATGGTTAATGTTTAAAAACATTAGCTTGTGTTAATATTATTGAAAGGAGTCAGTCAATTTTTTTAATGAAATTCTATTTAATAAAACAACATAAGAGAAGGCCAGAAAGTAGGACTGGAGAGAAAAGAGGTTTCTAAATTGCTTCAGTGTCAAAGAAAACCATCACACTTGTGACCACCCTGGGCCTCACTTTCCCCATCTGTACAAGAGAGATAATAACAGTATCCACCTTAGAGGGTCGGTGTGAGAGGTAAACGATGCAGTGCGCATAGGCACTTAGCACCGGGGTACGGAGGGAGGCGATACCTGAAGGGTTCAGCCTGAGGGTGCCTCCACCTCCACTTCAGGCTCCTTTGGTCAGGTGAGGGCTGGGCCGGAAGGGCTTTGCTAAACTGCCCAGCGGAGGCCTCTGCAGTGACTCCGGCCTCCTCACATGCCAGACGCTTTGACGTGTGGGGCCTCATGGGGTCAGAACATGCACCTCCCAGGGTGGGGCTCTGCCTAGAGAGGGTGAGGTCCAGGGCAAGGGCTCCCTCTTGGCCTCAAGGGCAGCAGGCAGGGGCTGAGATGACCAGCTCGGACTTGTTGCCGCCAGAGCCCGAGCCCGAGCCCTCACACCGACTACCTATCCTAAGAGTCAGAGCAGGGAGAAGCTACATTTCCTCCCGCCTGTCTCCCACCCCGCCCCGTAGGAGCACTCAGGTGCTTCTCTTCATATGCCCAAATCGTGGCTCGGTCTGATGTCTGCCCCCCTCCGGTACATCCGCGCACCCCCCACCATCCCTCCAATTCTGGCTGCTCACCTGGCTCCCGTCCTTGGCTGACACGTCGGCCATGTTGTTTCTCCGGGCCTGATGCATGGTCAGTGCGGCCCGAGTGGCCCCACCAGCCACGCCCACAATGCACTGGGTCGGGAAAGGGAAGAGTGAAAGTCAGAGTGGCCATAACCTGCTCTGTGGGTGAGCCAAACAAATGGCTCAAACCAGTTTAAGAAAACTGGGCCTCAGGCCACCCCGCAGCAAAACCCTGAATGCCGTCCCTGGTCTCCTGTTCTCACCCCGCATTTCCACTAGGCCCACCTCCCCTGTCCTGCTCCAGGAGAAAACTGAAGGTCTGCCTGTCACACCACCCTGTGGACCCAGCCCCAAGGAAACTCACTTTCTCCCCGCAAGGTGGAGGCCCACAGACCATTCTTAGCCCAGAACCTCCCCAGCCTCCAACTTCTGCTTTGGCTGCACCCTCCCCCTTGCAGAGCCAAGTCTGGTTTCCAACTTGGTGCTTACACTCTGCCTACCTGGAACTAACTCCACTCTCTTCCTGCCCCAGTCGAGGCCTAGCCAAGCCTTCCAGGCCAGTTCCAAACCCACACCAGTGGCCCTGACCTCCTAGGGCTCTCCCTCTGAGATGGGAGAGCTCATCGATTAGGGTCACTGACTTCGTTCATGTTTATCAAATCTCTTTTAGATGTCAGATACAGATTGAGGTGCTGTGAGAGACTTCAACACAACCCCTGCCCTCATGAAGCTTATAAATCATCAGATGGTAAACAAATAAACGAGTTGTTACATAGGCAGTGTTTGCTTGAAGGTAAGAGGAATGTGGATCAAAATGAGGCTGGAGTTATGGGCGGGGACCTGATCACATAGAACTTACCAAGCCTTGTAAGGTCTTTATACCAAGAGCAATGGGCACAGGGAAGTGACCTGATTTGATTTCCACTCTAATAAGGACTATGGGGTTGCTCTGAGAAGGACTGAAGAGGGGTGAGAATAGACGCAGGGAGATGACCTAGGAAATAACTGTGCTTTTTCAGCAGCAAGGAATCAACAGGTGAGATGGGGATGGAGGCGTGAAAGGACTGGAGAGATTTAAGAGGGCAAATAACAGACATGAATGGAGGTTTAGCTGAGGGTGACAGGTAAAGGGGGAGGAGATGAAGGCATGGGTGACAACCAGGCTTCTGGTTGGTGCACCTCAGGGACGGAGGTGCTGGAACTCTAGGGAGGGGCGGGAAGGTGGGGAAGGGGAAGTTCATGGCCCTGTTCAAGTCCCTTATTCGACAGATGAAGAGACTGAGGCCCACAAGGCGGAGCTTAGTGCAGAATTTAGGCAGAGGTCACAATCCTTGGTTTCTCTGTGGTCGCCTGCCCTGGAGGGGGAGGGGGTGCTCACGGCCTTTAGTGCCTGGGCCAGGGAAGCTCCATGGCCTCCACCACAAAGAACTGTTCCTAAAATCCTAAATATCAGTAGTGCCCAGCAGAGAAACACAAGTGATTCTGAACAGATGGATGGGCCTTTAAGATGGGTCTTACATATCTTCTTAAGACTCTTTACTCTGTGCCAGGTACTTAACCCTGTGGGGAAGACAGGCTGAGCTCTTTACCGAACCTTGCTAGGCCTCAGTTTCCTCATCTGGATGAGGTCAACTTGAAGGAATCATGAGGGTGAGCAGCCTGGCAGAGAAGAGCTTGGATTCAGCCCAATCACCCCTTCAGCCTTGCTGTCCGGTCTGTGCTCTGTCTTGCCACTGGACCTTGACCTGCACTGTTCTTCCTGCTCAGAACGCCCACGCTGTACCTCACACTCATACTTCAGGACCCAGCCCCAGGGAAGACCTTCCTGCATCCCTGGACCAGGCCAGATCCCCCACTGAACCCTCCTGCAGCCCCCTACACTTCTCATCTGGAATACCTATAGCTATCACTCGATAAATATTTAATTATGTGTGGCTTTCTATCAAAGATGGGAGGGCCTGTATTCTGTGCCGAACATGCAGTAGGCACCCTAAGTATTTTACTGAAAGAATGAAAGGTAGCCAGGGAGCTGGTCCCAAGGTGTTGACACTGGACCACCCGTACTCTCTTTCAGCTCAGAGCTCCCTCACCAGTCCCGTGGCTCCAGACACTGCCTTAGACCGACTCTCTGAGGCTCTAGAGGCTGTCTGGCTGGAGGAGGATCAGAATACATGGCTGAGTCCCAGAAGAAACACCTGAACTTCTTCACTCTTCTAGAAATGCCTTGAACACTGGGCCCAGGCTGGGATCCCCTGTGGGCCCCGAGCGAGCCCGCACATACCACCACCAGGGCAGGGATCTCGGGTCCAGGGGTGCCCCAGAGGGGGGTACCTTGGCCAGGTTGCTGATGCAGATGGTCATGGTGAAACAGATGGGGAATATGGGAGCCATAATCTCCAGGAACATGGCTACATCATTGAGGATGTCGGCAAAAAGCCTGGGGGAAGGGATAAGAGGTCAGAGGTCAGAGACCTTCATACTAGAAGACTCCCCTCCCCTCAGTTCCAGCCCCTTCTCACCTCCACTGCTTGGCATTACAGTCCATTTTGCTCCTGTGGGGGAGGAGAGGTTGGTTTGCAATTTGGATTTAAGGAGAAAACACAGCCTGTGGGCAGTGCAGGCCATTCCTATGCCTTGGAAAGGTCCGAAGGGCTCAGGAAAACCCACACCCCAGCCAGACATCTGTCTCCAAACCCTGTCACTGCTGCCGGAAATGCCACCAGTAGCTGGGAGGACCTTCAGTGGTCACTCATATTTCCCTGTTACTAACCCATGAGGCACCAAAGGAAAAAGCTGACTGCCTTGTGGCTGCTCCCCACCCTCGGGTCCTCCTGGGAGAGAGGCCATCCTTGGGGTCCTCTGCCAACTCCCCTCCTCTTCCTTCTGCTTCATAGAAGGTACCCAGCAAGAAGTCCACATATTCTATAAACAATACATTTAGTGTAAACACTACGCTGCATGTTATAGACAACTAGCCCAGAGAGGGATATGACTTCCCTCGGATCAGATGGGAGTGGGGGGAAAAGGCCGAAAGAGCCAGGCTCTGACATGCAGCCTAGGATCTCTCTATTACACGATGCCGCAGATGGTTCCCTCCTCTGCAGGCCGAGTGACACCCTGGCCCTTGCACAAACCCCCAGGGACTACTTCTCCAAGATCCCAGTGGCAGGAGATGCTGCAGCCCCCTGCCCAGCTCAGAATTTGCAGCATTAGCCCTGACCCTTCATTTGAAATCTCCTAGAGGGAAAGGGAGCATTCCTGGACGGGGCATGGGACACACATGGGGAACTCCTGATGGAGAGAATATATGGCAAAGGCAGGACTAGAACACGTGGGCCTGGTCTTGGGCTCTGCCTGATGCCACAGAAAGACCACAGGCTTTAGGTTCAAATCCCATCTCACCGGTTACAAGCTGTGCGACTTGGTCTGCTTCACATCTGGAAAAGGTACACTCAATCCTAGTCTACACAGTTATTATAAGGATTGGAGAGGATACACAGAGAGCTGGTAAGGCCCAGTTAGGGTTAGTAATTGCAGCTGGTGTTTACTGAACACTTATTATGTGCTAAGCACTTTACATAGCTCACTGCACCTCACAACCACGACTGATGGCAGATACTAACTCACTCCTGAGGTCACCCAGTAGTGACTCAAGGAGGAAGCAGGCAGCACGACACCCTCAATCCCTTCTAGATAAATGGTGATGTGGATCCCACGTCGGACAGGGATCCTGATAACCTACCCAAGCCCACTCCCCACTCAGCTTAGCAAAGTCCAACCAAGTATCTAAGCCGCCACAGTAGCCTCTGGAGTAAAGGTATTCCTTCTGGGCTAAGCACTGTCCCATCCAAGCTTCTCTCTTAACAAGCCAGCAGAGGATGCTCAGAGCCTGTGGCTCCCTGTGTTTTTCCATGATGGGCAGCAGAGGGGCAAATCGGTGCTCTTGAAGGCAGATCTCATCCTGGCAATGGCTCTGTGGCTTCACTGCTTGGTGACCCCGGGCAAGTCACCTGTACTGGGTACTCACTAAAGACTCCTTAGCTTTGATATACCTGCTAAATCTCTCCGCCCCTGGAGACCGGTAGGAAAGAGGGGGAGCTGAAAATACAGCCAGGGCTGAGAAAGACATGACTCCTGTCTAGGGAGAGTGGCTAGAAGTCTGCAGATCGGGAAGAAAAACTCACCCCATCCACCAGGCAAAGATGATGCGGCCCAGCATGCCAGTTGAATCTGGGGGAGAGAGGCATCGGTAAGGAACAAACAAGAGCCTTGGGGGCTGTAGGGCCTGGCAGAGCCTGGCACTGAGATGGCTTTCCACCTTGGATCGCTGCCCTTGGGAGCTCAGTCTGGTACGATAAGTTCTAGACAGACATAGCTGCATTATGGGGTCAGAAGTGCCTAGACTTAGCAGTCCCTCAGCATGTACCCCAGAGAACTAGGTACCCATGCACACCAAGAGACACGGACCAGAAATATTCTTTGCAGCATTGTTTATAACAGCAAAAAACTGGGAATAATGCAAATGCTCATCAACAGGAGAATGCATAAACAAATTCTGGTACATTTACTCAGGGGCATACTAGACAGCAGTGAAAATCTAATGGACCACAACTACCCACATCGGCATGGATGAATCCTAGTATTATCATCCTGCATGAAAAAGTAAGTCATGATGACTACATACAGCACAGTACACTCTTCATAAAACTCGAAAACGACTGAGACTAAACAATATAGTGTTTGGGTATATATATCTATATGGTAAAACTATTTTTATAAAAAGCAGGAAATTCTGTGTGGAAAGTTCAGAGGTTATTGTTGATATTCTAGCTCTTAGGTTGCACAGTGGGTCCACAGGTGGTCATCAGAGTATAAATAAGTAAAAAGGATCTGAACTGCAGGTTGGTGACAAGCGAGCTGGGAGTGTGGGGCAGAGGGAGAGGCCTCCTCAGACTAGGGAGAGTCAGAGAGGTCTCTGGAATCCACTAGACCTTCACTTGCACAACAAGTGCTTCTTGGCTACCCACTGCCGTGAGGCCTGGGGAGCACCACAGTGAGCCAGAGTCATGGTTCCAGGCTCAAAAGCCAGAGTAAAAGCAGACAGCAGCCACTACGAAAAACACTGATTTAGACCAAGGGTCAGTTTACGGTGGTCTGTGGGCTTCTTCGCCGTTTTTGTAAATAGTTTTACTGGAACACAGCTGTGCCATTTGTTTCCAGACTGTCTATGGCTTTTTTCATAACACGATGGCAAAATCAAGTTGCTGCAGGTGAAACTGTACAGCCTGCAAAGTGTAAAATGTTTACAGTCTGGTCCTTTACAGAAAGTTTGCCGACCACTGATTTAGACCCTACCTTATACTGAGAGTAGTACTCATTAAGCCCAGCAGGGGGATCACAAAGAAGGACTGTTCTAGAGTGTGAGAAGGCCTCACACTGCGGGCACTGGGAAGGACAGGCAGAGCGGGCAGAGGACCCTTAGCTTGTTTGAGCTTGAGGGAAGGGACCCTTAAGTGGGGGACTGCAAGAAGGAGAACTAGGTTGTGGGTAGGAGGGATGAGAACGTCCCACGACATATAAAGGTGGTGACATGGGCCAGCCTTCCTCATTCTCCTCTTGCCATGGCGGCCATCCTTGGGCATTGACCCCTTCTAGCTAGACATCTTTACCCAGCCTTGGACTTGAAGGAGACCGCTAAGCACTCTGGCAGAAACCTGAAATACCCAAGTCTTTCAACCGTCACAACAATTCTACGAGCTTAAGGGATCATCCCCTTTAGATGAAGCAACTGAAGCTCGAAGATTGATAAACGAAAATGGGGCATTTTCAAGAAAATCTGGATTTACAGCTTTCCGAGAAGAACCCGAAGACACGGCAGCATCAGGCCTGCTTCCCCTTACTGCTCCAGTTGGCTGGGGCTGAGTAGCAGCTGCCTCATTCAGAGGCGTGTGTACAACACATTTCCCGTCTGGCCTGCTCGGCTTCTCTATTTCTGTCCCCTCTGTCCATGGAAGTTATACTTCCCAGGGTGGGTTGAGAAGCCTCCTCCCGCTGTCACTCACCCACACTCCTCCTTTCAAGTACTTTTAATTCTACACAAGATTTTCATTGTTCAAGATTTTTGTATTGGATCATTTTAGTGACTCTGAACATGGCAAGGTTACTTTTATGGGGTGAGAGCTCACAGGGCCAGACTATTTTTCTTCCCTCCGACTGCACAGTCTTTGCCAATCAGGTATGTATTTTCTTCACACAAGAAAGGGGCCTACTCTATCTTTCAATGGAGGCAGTCTGCAGGGCCCTTGTCAGAATCTGGAGGTTGGCAATAGGACGCAGTGACATACATCCTCCCTATTAGCTGAAAGTCAACACTGTCCACTAGACCAGGAAACTTAATTCCCACCTGCTCCTCTCTGCCTCACTTACAACTGGCCATGCTGTAAGATCTCAAAATTTTGAGTCCTAGTAAGGGATCAACTGTCCATAAATTGTACTCGGCTCCACTCTGAAATCCTAACTGGCCAAAGAGTGGGTGGTTAAGAGTGGGACCCAGGAGTCAGTGGGCCTGGGTCCAAATCCTGGCCCTATGTGACCTTAGGCAAGTTACTAAACCTCTCTGTGCCTCAGCTTCCCCCTCTGAAAAAGGTACTCATAAAGGCATCTACCTAATATGGCTGCCGCAGAGATTAAGTTACACATTACACGTCAAAACGCCTGGCATACACTCAGCTGGCAAAATATTGGCTGCTAGTAGTATTACTATTGCTAGTTATGACAATTAACATCATGTTCTATTAAGAGATCTGTAACTAAAAGTGACCACATCAAAAAATTCCAAGGGAGTTTCTTATATAAAGCTCCGCATACAAATTTCCCATGTCTGATGGAAACAAGTTTGTAATATCCTTTCTAGTTAAGGGGGTTTCCTTTAATATCAACAACAGGCTTTAAAGTAAGAGGATATTTTTCCACATCTTAAAATGGTCTTTTTTTTTTCTTAATAACTTGCCTGAGCTGAAGACATACATAAGCAACATGTTGGTGATAAGACTAGGGTGCTTAGAAATGACATGGAACTACTGACCCAAGCTCCCACTGCATTCCAAACAATTAACCAACAGGAGAGGAATGGAAAAGATCCAAATTAAGCACAGTGCGGTGGTATGAAAATGTACTCTGGAACTAAACCTCCTGGGTTCACATCCGTGACCCTGGGCAAGTTACCGTTCTGTGCCTCAGTTTTCCCATCTATAAAATGGAGATAATGACAATACCCATCTCAGAACTATTGTGAAGACTGAGTCAGGACATTTAAAGACCAGTACACAGTAAGTACTATTCAGGAACTATTATTATTAAAAGAAGAGACAACTAGGACAACAGGCACAGATCACCACCACTTCTCCACTGATATGCAGTCTCAGAGAAAGGGCTTCTTTCCAGCAGTGACTCACATTTGGACAGTATGCTCGTCTTCATGGTAAGGGTATAAGCAGGAGCCTCCAGATTCTCCAAAAGGTCCACGGAGGCTCACCAGAGCTGTGGCCAGGCTGATGCCAGGTGCAGAATGAGCCTTACCTTGGGTCTGATTTAAACCTCCACTGGGAACAACAGTGAAAGACAAAGGATGGTGGAGAGAGCCACTGGCCCTCCTGATGTGGGCAGTTTCCCTTTTCTTCTATACTTCACTCTCTAAGTAGCACGGTACCAAACTGTATCTTCCCCCCCCCCCTTTAGTGGTTTTTCAAAAAGCGGTACACATTCAACAGACAGTTACTATAGTTATTATTCATGGTATCATCTAGTATCCCAGAGGATATGAAACGCCTTTCATCCTTCCCCAAACCTCCTCTCTGCCACTCAGGACCTATTACAAAACTGTTTCTGTCTAGAATTAACTAATTTCCCACACCCAAGGCAGTTGGCAGTTTTATTCAATAACCAAACTCTTAGGCAGTCCTCCACAGATTAGGAGTAAAGGGGAGGGGACGGTTTACTTAGGGATCTGGGCTCCAGATGATTAAGGGACACTGCACAGTCCGTATGGGGAACGGAGTGCAGCTACCGAGGCTAGTGGGCGGGATGAGGGTGTTCCCGCCATGGGTTACTAGTCAGTCGTCAATAAAGCCAATAGAAAAATTTACTCAGTTGAATTTTGTTTTTTAACGAGGTACAAGGCACTCTTCTAGGAAGTGGGGAGGCTTGGCTCCCGGATCTAATCAGACAGGAATGCATAAGTAAACATACTCATCAGAGCCCAGAGCTAGGTGCCAAAACACCGGGAGAAGGGGAAAATAGGGGCTGGGCTTCCCAGCCGAAGGAAAAAGTGGACAGAGAAATGGCAGAGCTGAGAGGAGCGATCGGTGAGACTCCAGGGGTCCAGCTCACCTTTCACGAGCCAGGTGGCCGTGGCAGCTGAAACAGAGGCTTTTGCGTTCCCTACCCCTATGCCCAGCAAGACTGCGTGGGTGGCCAGGGAACCCGAGAGGCTGGAAGCAAAGGCCTGGAGAAGAAAAGAAGTGGGGTGAGGAGTGGGCGCAGGAGCATGGAGGTCTAAGACCTGTTATCAGCTCTCCTGGGTGTGTGGCCTGGGACGTGTCACAGCTTGGCTCTGGGCCTCAGTGTCCAGTCTGTAAGCGGGGAGGGAGAGGCGGCGCGCCGTCTCCCCTGCCCCGGCTACATGTCGCTCCCTTCCCCAGTCGGCCGGGCTGACCTGCACGGAATCCCACAGCTGGTAGGGCAGATAGTCCGGGCTGACGCTATCGGGGAAGCCCTGAGGCAGGAAGACAGCCAGGAGCCGCGAAAGAGGTGGGACGGCCGTCCCGGGAGCCACCCTTTCGCCCCCATCTCGTCCTCCGGGTTTCGTTGTGAAGGCCCCAGAGAACCCCCACCAGCGCCGCCCCCAGGCCTCCCACTGCAGGCTCCCGTCGGCGGCGGCGCGGCAGCCCCGGGCCGTCCCGGAGCCGAACTGCTCGGAGCACAGTGGGGCCTCACTCCTGGCGACATATGCCATCCTGAATTCCTCCCTTTAGTTCCGCGGGCAGAGAAACGTGGCCGGAAGACGCGTCCTGCTCGGCTACGGCAGCTGCAGAGGGGCATTATTCCTTCGCGAAAGGGCCTCCTGCCTCCGCGTACTCTTCCAGCCAGCCCAGGAACCAGATGGTTCCTTTCCAACCTCCCGGCCCCGCCTCGACCCCTCGGGGCTGGTCCCGGTCCTGGTTCTTTGTAGCATCTTGTCTGGGGCCGCGGGAGCCTTTTGGCCCGCCAAGCCCTGAAGGTACCTGTTTTGCTGTGACCCCCGACTTACAGTTATGGGGAGAAGGGAAGAGGGCGTCCCTAGGGAATCGTGTTGAGACCCGGTGCGGCCACAGAATTTTTCGCTGTGTGGCTTTGGGCAGCTCAGTGTCCCTCTCTGGTTCTCAGGTGGCTTCCTTGCTGTGAAGCCAGGGCCTGTATTTTACTCGTATTCTTTCCCGGGTACCCAACACATAGTAGGTGCGTAAAAGAGATAATATTTATGAATGAATGCATGCATGATGAGAAGTTGGACCAGATGATCCCTGAGGCCCTGTAAAGCTTCCCTTTTTGTTTGTTTGTGTTTTTTGGGGGGTTTTGTTTTCCTTCTGGGCGTCTCTGGCCCTCCACTAGAAATTTTCAGCCCTTCAGCCTTTCCTGACTGGGAGAGTATTATTTCTGAAAGGATCCTAAGAACTTTTGAGGAGCAAGGAAATCAAGGGATTGTAGTGAATAGTGTCAGCAAATAGGAGAAATAGGCAAGAAGTTCTTCTGTGTTTATTGGGGGAGAGGGTCTATGAAATTGGGGGGAAGTCTAAAGACAGTGTTTCCCTCCAAACTCACCTCTTTTTCTCTTTCCCTCTCTTCTCTCCCTTCCTCCTTCCCATCTAGTGCGATGTACTGCCTTCAAAATAGAAATTTGCTAAAAGCATTCTCTTTTCTTCACAAAATAAAATATCCTGGTTCCTTAGCCCAGCATTCTTGGACCCTCACAGTTTGATTCCCTGCTTGAAACTTCTGATTCTCCCTAACTATCATCTTTCTCTTGGACCTCAGCCTGGAATGCTCTTCCACCTCACCTCACCTTACCTAAAAGCTAGACAGAGTCTCTGAGGCTGAGGTAGACCCAGGGCATTTGATTTTTTGCTTGTTTGTGTGGTTCCTGTGAGAGTGAAAAATTGAAGGGATACAAACGTGTAATATTTTAAATGTTAGCTTCTCTGGGTGTATTGAACTGACACTAACCTCCAGGAATGAATTCCACCAGAGGGCTTTAGTTTGGGGGCAGGTTCTGTCACTTAGTATCTGTGAGACCTTGGGCACGTTTCTCACCCCTCTGTCCTTCAGTTTCCTCACCTGTACAAGGGGAATAATACTAGTACCTACCATATAGGGTTGGGATGAGGATTAAATGAGTCGTATGTGTAAAGCTCTTAAACTATGTTTGGTACCTAGTGCATGCTATTTAAGTGTTGACCATTATTTGGAGTTAATGTCAAGTATTCAAATGTGAGGCCCTTTGCTCCACAGGGCCCTCATGACCAGCACTACTCTATGACATATTGTCCAAACCAGGATTTTTTTTTTTTGGCTGCGTGGCGCGACTTGCGGGATCTTAGTTCCCAGACCGGGGATTAATTGAACCCGGCGCCATGGCAGTGAAAGCACCAAGTCCTAACCACTGGACCGCCAGGGAATTCCCCAAATCAGGATTTTTGAGAGTGTTTTTAAAGGAGGCACCGTTAATAATCACATTGGACTAACAGACTGGAGCCATCCTGGGCAAACTGAGAAATAGAGTCACACTATTTAGCAACCCTCTAGGCTTTACTGACCATCTTTGTCCACATTGACCTCTCCCTGCTCAGAGACCATGGCAACCCTTGTTCACTGTAGAACTTATTTAATGCTTAGCATATGCTTTCTGGAGCCAGTTTGTACTTGCTTTTATTAGGTATCTAAGTCCTGTCTTCCCAAGTGGACTGTAAGTGCCTGACAAGGACTCATACAATTCTTTGCAACCCCAGTGTCCAGATCAGTGGCTTGACAAAGAGATGAGGGATGCTTCCTCTTCCCCTACCCCCTGAGACCTCTTGGCAGCCTGCATTCAGCAGTATAGTAAGCACCGGGCAGAACACTCCAAGCTGCTCATCTCCTGGACTTTATCCTCACTGATCTCCCCACTTCCACAACTACCCGCTTATGGTCTACTCCCTACACAGCTTAAAACTCCCCGGCTCAAAACCTTTCAGCAGCTTCCTGTTACTTTTATGGAAGAGGATTGCAATATTCTCCTCCAAACCCTTCAATGACTTTCCTTCATATTTGAAAATAAAACATGAACTTCTTGTCATGGCCCATGAAGCTCTGTAGATTGGGCCCTGCTCCATCTTTCAGACTTCACCCCTTACGGTTCATCCTCTCACTCCCCCAACTAGAACATAAGCTCCCAGAGAAGAGAAACTTCGTCTTTGGCACTGATGCATTCCCAGGGCCTGGCACAAGGCAGGTACCAAATACCTATTTGTGGAATGAATGAATTTATTTTCTCAATAACCCTCATAGGTATTATTTCATTCCTCCTTTAAACAGAGAAACTGGGGTTTGCATGTGTGAAGTGACTTCAACAAGGTGACAGAGATGAAAAATGGCAAAAGCATTCATTCTCCTATTCATTCAACAGATATTTAGTGAGAAGCTGCTACTCTTCTAGGCCCTGAGGCAGGTGTCCAATTTGAGGCTAATCGTTTCAGAACTATACCATCTTGTTTCTTTCTTTTTTATTTTGTATTCTTGTTAAGTATTATAAAAATAATGGAAGGATACATTCTCACTGTAAAATAATTCAAACAATAATATAGATGGAGAAGGTCAAATTCTCCCTTGACATTTATCCCTCTTTCCATTTTTCAACAAATACCAGTCAATGCCCAGAAGTAAACATTATTTACCATGAGAGAGAGAGAGAGAGACAGAGACAGAGAGACAGAGAGAGAAATATCATTTTACATTTAATTCCCTCTCCCATACTCGCCGCCTGAGGTAGCCTGCTCTAATTATAGTTCACTTAACGTCGTCTTTGAGATCTTTTCCTATCGGCACATGTGTAGCTACCTCATTTATTTTAATAGTTGCATGTCATGCCATGGTGTGAATGTGCCATCGTTTCTATAAAGATTCCCCACATTGCTTTTTTCATTATTACAAATAGGTATGATAAATTCCTTGTACAGGCCTTTCTGTACACTGAATATGAATATTTCTTTAAAATGAGTCCAAAGCAGAATTGTTGGGCTGAAGGGTATGTGTATTTTAATTTGAACAAGTATTGTCAAACTATCTCTCTAAACAGCTTTACCAATTTACACTCCTACTAACAGTATATAAGAATGCTTGTCATAGTCAAGATATGTATTGCCATTATCTAAAAAAGTTCTCTTGGGCACCTGTGCATTTTAATGTCCACTCTTGTATTCTGATCGCAGATGACCCCTAATGTGCTTTCTGGTCACTATAGATTATTTTTGCTTCTTCTAGAATGTCATAGAAATGGAATTATACTGTATATGATCTTTCATGCTTAGCTTCTTTTGCTCAGCATAATGATTTTGAGATTCTTCCATGTTGTCATGAGTACCATTAGTCTGTTTCTTTTTTTTTCTTTTTTCTTTTTTTTTTTTTTGTGGTACGCGGGCCTCTCACCGTTGTGGCCTCTCCCATTGCGGAGCACAGGCTCCGGACGCGCAGGCTCCGTGGCCATGGCTCACGGGCCCAGCCGCTCCGCGGCATGTGGGATCTTCCCGGACTGGGGCACGAACCTGTGTCCCCTGCATCGGCAGGCGGACTCTCAACCACTGCGCCATCAGGGAAGCCCAGTCTGTTTCTTTTTATTGCTGAGTAGTATTCCATTGTATGAATATACCACAGTTTGTATATGCACTCACTGGTTATTGGACATTTGGGTTGTTTCCAGTTTTGGGTTATTATGAATAAAGCTGCTATGAACATTTGCATTTGCATGTAAGTATTTTTGTAGACGTGTATGGACTCCATCTAGGAGTGGAATTGCCAGGTCATGTGGTAAGTGTATGTTGAACTTTATGAGAACTTGCCAAATTGTTTTTTCAGACATTTCATTTTACCCTCCCACTGGCAATGTATGAGATTTCTAGTTGTCCTATATCCTTACCAACACTTAATCAGTCTTTTTAACTTGCAGGAGCTGTAGTGGGTATGTAGTGGTATCACATTATAGCTTTCATCTGCATTTTCCTGATGAATAATAATGTTGAACATCTCTTCATGTGCTTATTGGCTATTCGTATATCTTCTTTGTGAAGTGCCAGTTCCAATCTTTTGGCCATTTAAAAAAACTGGGCTGTCTTATTATTGAACTATCAAGAGTTTATGTTAAATTCTGTATACATTTTTTTTTAAGGGCTTCAAATGCTTGGCTTTTTAAATTATTATTTATTTATTTATTTTATTTTTGGCTGTGTTGGGTCTTCATTTCTGTGCGAGGGCTTTTCTCTAGTTGTGGCAGGCGGGGGGGGGGGCACTCTTCATCGCGGTGCGCGGCCTCTCTTGTTGCGGAGCACAGGCTCCAGACACGCAGGCTCAGTAGCTGCGGCTCACGGGCCTAGTTGCTCCGCGGCATGTAGGATCTTCCCAGACCAGGGCTCGAACCCGTGTCCCCTGCATTAGCAGGCAGATTCTCAACCACTGTGCCACCAGGGAAGCCCTGTATACATTTTTTTTATGGTCAGGTCGTATTGCAATTATTTCTCCTAGTGGTAACACATACTTTCTACCGTAAATAAATGAAAACACGTTTACACAAAAATCTGTGCACAAATATTTATAGCAGCTCTAGTCATACTTGCCAATAACTGCAAACAATCCAGATGTCCTCCAGTGGGTCAATGAATAAACAAACTGTAGTGCGTCCACACGATGCATGCTTAGCAATGGAAAGGAACAACCCACTGCTACTTGGAACGACTTGGATGGAGCTTAAGGGCATTATTCTGAGTGAAAGAAGCCAGTCTCAAAGGTTAGATGTTGTATGACTCCATCATAAGACATCCTCAAAAACACTGAACTGTAGTGATGGGGAACAGATCAGTGGTCG